GTATCTATATTATGCGCGTCGAACTGCCGCGTAACGACGCGTGTGAACGTTTTATGCACCGGCGACTCGAGGCGTAAAATTGTTCGAATAATCGAGCGGTGTTCGCAGGCAGCGGTCGAGAAGACGGTGCCCGTCGATTTAATCGTTGTCGAGATTACCGAAAATGTGCATAACGGTAATCGCCGGCTACGCGCATAATTTGTGCACGGATCGCCGCCATGATAAATTATTCATTCTGCATTTGGCGCGCGCGCGCGATGCACCTTGCTCCCTGTGTCCCTGCGCGTTTCGTGACCGGCTCTATCGCGGCTCATTTGCATCCTGCCCGCTCCTCCACGATTATTTCTTCGAATCGTGGAAGGAAATCGACACCTTCTCCTCCCCTCTCCAGAATTGTCGCCCCTTCCAATGGAAAACCATCGATCGTACGATGCGAGTATATTTTCGAAGGATTTCGACGATGACTCTCTCGTCTGTATTCCATTCCTCTCCTCTCCGATTTCTCCGCGTGTTGTTCGTAAAATGGCCGAGCTTGGTACGCGATGCACGATCGAGTACAGTGATATATATATTCGAATACGAGCGATTATATCGCATATAATCGAGAGGATAGCGGAGGAATCGTCACCATCTTCGAATTAAGAGGGAATCGGTCAGCTTCTCGAAACAGGTCTGATATTTTCATTCGCTCTATCGATCGAAAGGGACGAGAAATTTAGATCTCGATCGGATACAAGGAAGATAAGGAGGAAGGGAAAGAGATACGGATCGTTTTCCTACCAATCGAATCCACCGCTTAACGATCCACCGCGACGATCGGTGATTTACCGCTGGCAACGGTTGTAATCGGGCCGATGCGACGTGGAAAGCGGCGTGGCCAAAGGAACCGGAATGAAATCACCGTTACCGAGCCCCGCTCCTCTTTTATCACTCTCGCGGCCAGCCAGCCTGCCCCCTTCGATTACTTACAACTTTCGATCCTGTTGCACGCGCCCCGCGCAACGCCACCGGCAACACCGCCGACTCTTCGCCCGGCCTCGTATCGGGATCCGACTCTTATCTCGGTTGAGGAGGATATATAAGAGAGAGAGAGAGAGGGAGAGAAAAATAGAGAAGGAAAGAAATGGAAGAGGAGAGATGGCAGCTGCGATCATTCGCAACGGTTAATCCTTAAGCGGATCCTTGGACGGGGATCGCGGTGGCAATTTTTTCTCTCTCTCTCTTTTCTCTTCTCTTCTTTTCTTTCTTTCTTTCTTTCTTTCTTTCTTTCTTTCTTTCTTTCGTTCTTTCTTTCTCTCGAGCGAGCGGCGATACGAAGTGGTGGTGCGCAGCAACGGCTGTTATATCGTTAAAGGGGAAAATAAGCATGCGTCGGCGCGTGGAGATCGGGGAACGACAACGCGGAGTAATTGAATTATGTACAGTGGTGACGTTTGAATTACCGAGGTTGCGCTGTCGCTCGTTGGTGAGACGCGTGTGGCGAATTTATTTGCATAACTGGCAAAAACGTGGGCGTCCGCGTTTAATTAATCGTCCTTTCTTTTCTTCTCTTCCTTTTTTTTTTTTAGCCGAGTTATCGAAGCGGATTCCTTTGAAAATTTAAAAAAACGGCGATTAATTATCGCGCGTATTTTAATTTGTTTAACGTTACAACAACGTCTCCAACAATATCCGATATTATAATATGTTCTCGACACTCGTACAACAGGCAATCGCTTCTCGTAACTTGGAAAGCAAATCGATTTGCCGGCGATGCTTGCAGCCGGAAGTCGTAAAAAACTCGAAGGAATCTCGATCTCGAAAATGATGGTATCTTTTGCTCGGTATCGTATCAAAGCTCGGTTTGCAACCAAACCAGTGGTCTTTGTCGTTGAAAACTTTAGTAATGACGTTCTCAAAAGTGATTTCTCTCTCTCTCTCTCGATATGCATCCTCCATCCTCTCCCATCGTCCGAAGCAATTTCAACGCTACAACGACGGTTGTTATTCCAACACGATGCGGAAAGGCGAAGCTATCGATTCTCGATTCCTTCGGATAAAAACGATTGTAATTACAAAAAAATACATAACTCGATATACTATAACTCGCGCGATACAGAGAGGATTGGATTATCGTGTGCAGTTTTCTTTTTTTTTTTTCTTTCTTCTCCTCGTTTCTCGTACAATTTTAGACACGACGTCAAAGCAAAGGTAAAAACTTGACAGTACACGCATACTTACACACACACACATACATATACACGACTATAGAACGCCTACGTAGCTCCTCCTGTTCGATTCTTTCCCGTCGTCCCGTTCGATCGACCAGTTTAAACGCAGATATTTCCGAGTATTTCACCAACACTCTGCCCAGGTTCTCGGTTCTCGATTGTACAGTTAACACGGCGTGGACGTGAATGTTAATCACACCCGGCGCGCACCGGATTTCCAACCCCTTTCGCGTCGTATGCCTTACGTGGAAAAACGGGGTCGAATGGGAGACCTCGCTCGAGAGAGATTCCTCGAGGAATCGCCTCGCCTCTCAAATTGCACACGGATCTCGATTCTGAAAATACGTTGGCTGCGTACAGCAGCGGCTCCCTTCCCTATAAATTATTCAGATACTGTTCGCGGACAAACGGCGATTACGGATGGACGTTCTACCCTGTGGTGTTCCATCGACGAGGAAGAAGGGAGGGTTGCACAAGCGATACGAATCAATTTTGTGCGCGTCGCCGATCACGTCTATCCATCTATCTGCATCCGCTAGGATACAGTTGTCCTTGATCCTTGCCACGCCAAGTGATCGTGGCGTTACGGCGCGATGACGCGTAATTACGCCTCGTTCCCCTTAACACCGAGGTCATACAACAGGCCGAGATTATTGTAATTCCGTGGATCCCTACGTTTCCCGTAATTTACATCAATTTCTTCTCGCTCAACTTTGCCTCGGTGTGAGAAAGGGCTCGTTGGGGTGGAAGGCGCGAAGGAGAGAGACGGAGATCGGAAGAGTATGGAGGAGCTTGGCACGAGAGATGCGAACCACGCGAAACGCAGGGAAAAGTATCGGCGAGTATTTCGATTCATTTTTTCGAGAGCGAGAAACCGGCTGTCGAGCCTCGATAATATCTAAATGATATTGAACGAATCGAGCGGAAGGAGAGATCGCGAGGCAATTAGCGAGCAGCAGGTTGGATAAAATAAATGGTCGAGGTCGTAGTAAGTCGTAGGGAAACCGTGGGAGGGCAAAGGTCGGGCTTTGGAAACTTCGCATTGTAAACTTTCCCGAGATCGTAATCACGAGAAAGGTGCGAGGAAGATGAGGCGGGGGAGAGGAAGTACGAGTTAAAAAGGTAAAAAGAAAAAAAAAAGGAAAAAGAAAGAAAGAGATAAAGGGAAGAAAGGGAGAGATATGCGTCGGTTTAAAGGGAGGAAGGAAGAGATAAAGGAAGGAAGGAAGGGAACTCGGGAAGAATAATAATAAAGGGGAAAGATACAAGGGTCACGTAGTCCTTGTAACGGCGTCGAGAATCCGTTCCCGGAACGGAGAATTCCGGCGGCGTTTCGGGCGAAACGATTACCGGTTAATGGAAACCGGATCCCTATCTATGGCATATATAAATATATACGTACCGAGACAATGGGTCGAATCGAATCAAGTTCTGGAAAAGAAAGAAATACGATGGAGATTTTGAGAAAAACAGGAAAGAAACGTTGAGCAAATGACAAATCTCGATGAGCAACGGAGAAGTAGCTAGGAGACCGATTAAAAAGAGAAGACGCGAAGAAAGAGGAGAAGAGAGGAGGGAAGAAGATAAAGCGAAAATGTAGCGGAGATCGAAAATGAGAAAAAGGAGGGAGGAGGAAGGAACGAAAGAAGAAAGAAAAAGTATAAGGTCACGGACCTTTGTCGAGAGATGGCTGCTCGACGATCGCACAGGTGGTTGCACCGGCTGCAGGGAACCGCTTTAAACTCGCTAATGGAAAAGACCACCAACCCTGGGGCTATTTGAAAGTGACACACCGTGCAGTCACGTAATTTGCGCGTTAATCGCAACCTGATGGATGCGCGGAAACCGTGGACAATCGCGGGGACACGAATAATTTGTGCGGGTGAGCTCGTTCCAATGTTTCGAATCGCGCCAGGATTCAGAGGCGAGAGACGAAAAATGTTCTCGTTCGTTGGAAATTCCTGCTACTCGAATCGCGATAGAAATGAAAGATCAGTAATGCTTAATTATCGAATCGTCATCTTTGAATAATAAGAATTCGCTAAATTCCTCGTTGCTGCATTCTTTAATAGCGTGTTGTCCGCGTGTCACGATACACTTCATCGCGAATTATTACGCGTATCTATTCGCGTAACTGATCATCGAGCGTTCGAGATCAACGAGCCAGAATTGCATATCGAGCGCGAGATTATCGAAAATTCTTTTCATCTTAACGAAAAATCTGTCTCGATCGATTTACCGATCAAAAGCGATCGAACATGGGAAAGTAAGGTTGTAATGCGTTTGTTTGTGGTACGATAATATATGGTTGAAAATTCAATTATCCGGGGAGGAAGCAATTTCGTTTCTCATAACCGGATGAAAGGTTTTTCTCGCAGGGGGATAATGTGAAATCGGTGGTGTATACGGGTTTTTACGTTAGTCGCGAACGGTGAAAGTATCTGTAGTTGTTCCGCGAAAGAGGAACAGAGGCGAGGTTCGGGGGATGCGCATCGGTGGTGCGCGGTGGTGTTTCTCGAGCGCGCGATGTCGGTTGCTCGCATTTCAAGGTCGAGAGACGTTTACGACTTTATGGGGCAATTACCGTGGTATACTGTAAGTTAGTTTGCGGCCGCGTCGTACCTCTCTTTTTCCCCGCATCCAGATTCCGCCTATCCCTCCTTCCAACTGCCTTCCCCTTCCCTTTCTCTTTTTAGTCGAAAACGACGCGTCCGAGTATACGTTCGATCGATTTGGAGACAGGCGTTCGACATTTTGACGGGGCGCTGAATTTTCGTTTCCGATTTCCAGTGCAGAGCAAAGTGAGATGTTCCGAGCAATGGATGGAAGTCGACATCGTAAGGAGCAGCCCACGAGCGAGGATATACCTGCAACAAATGAAGGACTTTCCAGGTAAAGATCGATTCGTTTCGTGTATTCGCGAGATACGCAGCGTTGGCCGACGCGAAGCCGTGAGATATAGAAGCGAGAAGCGATGGTACACGTGCCGTATTTTACACGGTGGAACGTATCTTCCTCTTGCAGACGAAGCTTGCAAACCTCGGCTTAGCAACGGTGTCGCCACGTTCCGATTACCTCTCCTAGAAGAGGACATGTTGCGATGCGGCATCACGAGGGTCGTTAACAAAGTCACGGTAAGCCATAATTACGATCAACGAATAAAACTATCGTTTCTTGAATAAGTTAAACGTTTGAATAATTTGGTCTAACGATTTCGAGAATCGAATCGAATCGAATTGAAAATGGAAATGAAGGAAATCGATCGATCCTCGTATCCTTGTTTGAAATTGGAAAAGCACAGAGAGAGAGAGAGAGAGAGAGAGAGAGAGAGAGAGAGAGAGAGAGAAAGAAAGAGTGTAAAGAAAAAGCATCTCTGGATAGAAAAGAGAAGAATGAAAATCGAATAGCGATAAGTTGTTACCTCGGCTCGGCCTTCGTTATTGTTTCGATCGATGGGAAGGAATCCCATGGATTCGAGCAAAATTATAGATATACGTATGATATACAGGGTCAGAAGGTGTACTTTCATCGAATAATAGTGGAGGAGCCCGCGGATTCCAGCAAGCATACGTTCACCGTAAAGTGTGTTATCACCGAGGTCGTTGTGAAACCTGGAATCTCGATCGCAGCCAATCACACCGTGGTTCGCAGGAGCGTTCTACCAGCAGGTTTCCAGGAACCCGAGTGAGTTCATATTTTATCTTAATATTCAGTTTCCGTCTTATCTTCTCTTTTTTTTTATTTGTTCGCACTTTTCCCTCGATTCACTTCCCTCGGTAGACCGATAAATGGTTCTCGCAGAGTCGAGAACCACTGTTTCGATTTCGCGTTATTCGCCATCACGATTCCAACAGCTGTTCAACGTGCTCGAACGATCGTCCACTCCGCGCAACGCTCACGTATTCTCATCATCAAGGACAACCCAGCTCTAATACGTTCCGACTAGCGCCAAGAAATAACGGCTAAAATTATCTTTGAAACTTTCATCCATTATCTATATACTCGTTGGAAGCGTTACGCTTTTCGATGATTTTTTTTTTTTTNTCTAACGATCGAAACTTTCCAAGCGAACGAGCACGGTGAAATAATTTTATT